TCTAGAGATTCCTAGAGGAGACAATGCTACCACCCTCCCAGACTGTGGTTTACCAAAAGTTTCCACTCCTGCAGAACAATCTCCTTGCCCATCCACATGGGAATATACTCTTTTGGGAGAAGGTGGTTAAAAGATTCTTTAGCTAGGCCACTCTTCTGCCCTCTTTACTGGTTCTGAATTCTACAAAAGGAAACAGGGACTCTCTGAATAAGAAGATTCAAAATGTAAAACCAAAAGCTTCCTTATCATTAACTTTGTCAAATAAGGTAGGATAAATATTTAATAAATTCCTATGGCCTTAATAGATTAGCCAGTAAAGAGGCTTACAATCTCAGAATGAAATCCAAAAGGGCTTTGACTCCAAGTTGTGACCCAGGAAATTTAAAAATCATAAGAAAATAACCAAGGCATTTATTTCATCAAAGTCTTAAACTATTTAATTTAATTTCAGATGTATCATAGACCTAAACACAAAAGATAAAAAAAACTATAAAGTTTCTAGAAGATAGCATAAGATATATATTCACCACTTGGGTACAGGAAAATATTTCTTAGAAAGGATATGTGAAACAATAACAATAAAAATCATTGAGAGATTACACTTCATCAAAATCTAAAACTTTGTTCATTAAAAGATACAAGTCATAGACTAGGAGGTAATATTTACAAAACATACATAGACAGGACTTCAATCCAAAATATACTAATACAAAGAACTCCTACAACTCAAAAACAAACAAAACAAAAGAACCTACTGTAATTTTATATGAACAAAAAGTCTTAATCTGTAATAATTGTTTGCTTCACTGATTCAAACAGTTTCAATTTAGTGGAGTTAATAGCTTTTAAAAAAATAAATAAAGGAAGTGGGAAGAGTTGATTTAAACAGGGGGTGTGGGGCAGGGGATATAGCACGTTTTGCATACTAAAAGCCTGGCTAAGCACCACCTGGTGGCAGATACTTTTGAATTGCAGCTTGAGTTTTTGTGGGATTTCGTTAAAGGTGAAGATAAATTTTGCAGATTGCATCTGCAAAAATAGACTTGTAAACAGTAAGAGATTCCAATAAGATGACAGCCAAATTAAATTTTACCATATTAAAACCAAACCAAAAGAACAAAATCTATTCAATTTTTTGATTGAAAATAACTGATTAATATTAGGAGACAATGAAGATAATATGATAACATAATATCCTGCATATTTATATAATAGAATTTTAATTGAATATTAACATTAGGTTATTAAATGTGGAATGTCTGATTTTCTTAAGTACTAACTTTGACAATTGATACCTCTGACATTTCACTTAGACACTTATTGGTTGTTTTTTTTTTTTTATTGTTAAGATATATCCTTATTCTGTCAAATGCATGCTTTGGTTTGTAATTATCTTTCAAAAAAATTTTTAGAGCAATTTTTGTGAAACCGTGGATAAGTCAAAAATTCATGCTATTTTTAAACATGAGTCCTGTCATGGAACCAATGCAGCACAGTACAGACAGCTCGAAGTATCAACGAGGTGTTTGGGAAGGATGTGGCTAATGAATGCACAGTACATCCATGGTTTGAGAAGTTCTATTCTGGTGATTTTAATCTTGAAAACGAGCCACAGCAGGTGATCTGAGACCAAGGTGGATAATGATGAGCTGAAAGCTGTAGTGGAAGTGAATCCATCTCAACTTATACATGAATCAGCAGCAAAGTTTGATGTTACTATTCCAACAATATTGGGCCATTTGAAACAAATGGGCAAGGTAAAAAAGCTGGATAGATGGGTTACACATGAATTAAATGTGCATCAGAAGAGAAATCATCTGGAAGCTTGCCTTTCTTTGCTGTCACGACATGAAGGTGAACCATTTCTACATTGTATTGTTATGTGTGATGAAAAGTGGATTCTTTTCGAGAATCGCAAATGTTCGGCACAATGGTTGGATAAAGATGAAGTGCCAAAACACAGTACAAAACCAAATATTCATCAAAAAAAGCTAATGGTGTCTGTTGGGTAGTCCAGTGCTGGTATTACTGTAGATTATGAAACTTAGTTGATTACAGCGGATGTCTACTACAACCCATTGGATGAAATGATGACAATGCTTGTGATGAAGCAGCCAAGATAGGTCAATAGAGACAGGCCAATCCTCTTGCAAGACCACATGTCACGAAAAACAACGCTGCTCAAACTACGAAAGCTAGACTTGGAAACTCTCTGTCATCCACTGTATTCACCAGACTTTGTACCAACTGATTACCACTTCCTCCAGCTTTGGGCCACTTCTTGCAAGGAAAAATATTCAATTCTCAACAAGCTGTGGAAAACACCTTTCATTATCACTTATTCTCTAGACTTCTTCCATGCTGCCATAAACAAGCTACTGTTAAGACGGCAAAACTATCGATAGTTCAGGCACAAAGTTTGATTAATTGGACTGCTTCTTGTTTGAGATACAATAAGTGACATTTTTTATTAGAAATCGGACATTTCATACTTAATGCCCTAATACAATAAATGTAAGTTGGTTATTTGTGTGCCACATATTTGACATATATTATTGTATTTAGTCTTCCTAAGAACTCTGTGAAGTACAGGCCCACTCCACAGAATACCTCCATAGTTAACATTTCCCCAGTAGAAAATCTCTTCATTTTTAATAACCAAACCTCATGGAACATACTTATCTTGCAATACAACATTTTTGTGAATCCCCTCCCACAGAAAAAAAAAATAAAAATCACTAAGAAAAATCTCAACAATAGAGAAGCTATTACTTAATATAAAGAATTTTTGTTAATAACTGTATTATGTTTAGAAAATAACATTTTAAGCAACTCTAACCTAACATTATTTTTTTGTTTCATGTATACCTATGAATTTTACTGTGTTATGGTTGAGTTTTAAGAAGTTGTTGTAGATATTACAATGCATTATAATAAAAATAATGGAAAAACAGGCTCCCTGTTCATGTTTTCAGGTGGAACTTCTGATTTTCAAAAATATATTACTGACATTAAGCAGGAGATGCCTGTATGGTATTACTATTATTCCATTTTACTAATGAGTCCCAAAGAGTTTAAGTCACTTGCCCAAACTCCCAGAACTCATAAGTGGAGGTGCCCTGGCAGTGTGGCCGTAGAGGCCGTGTTGCCACCACCATGGGACACTGCCTCCATCATTGCCCAGCTTGCACCACACAGATGGTGTGGCCTGGGTCAGTGCTTCTCAAAGTTCTTGGTCAGCAAGTGATCAAGTTGGAATGTTACCAGATTAATATGTAACCTAAAAGGTAGTTCTGTGGCTTAGATTTGAGAAATGCTGAGTTTAACAAAATAAAACACGCTACTTTACTTTTCAGAGCCACTGTGTGCTATGATTCTCTAAGGTTGGTAGGTGAAGAAGGATTTAGCACTTCCCAGACTTATTTGTTTGAGATTTGTATAGATTAGGAATGTGTTTAGCAGCATAAAACATATAATATATATATATATATATATATATAATATGTGTGTGTGTATGCATATGGCCTTATAAGATACCAACATTGACTTTAAAAATGTACCACAGAACAAGAATTCTGGGTCAGGGTGGCCCAGGGCTGGGCTCATTTCTCTTTCTCATTCTGGTCTGCTGTCCATAACAAGCTGGCATTCACACTCATGAGTGTCACTTCATAGACACCAGACATTACTGCCTCTCCAGGCTTCACAGCTGTAGTCCAGGGAGGAAGGAAAAGGAAAGAGGCAACTCTAACACTCCCACTTAGAATTCATTGACCAGGGCAGTGTCACCAAATTGTTTTTTTTTTTTTTATTTTTTAGTTTCTTACCTTTAACCGCTTAGGTACCGAGTGTTGACTATAGTCGATAGTCACAGATGAACCGAGCTTCAACTTTAGCCAACAGCCGTGATATGAAGGCGCACAGCCGAGCGTCGACTTTAGCCGACAGCCATGATATGACTTTTCTAATTTTTCATTTATCAAAATAAAATTGTGAACATTTAAAAATAACGTAATGAAAACATATGTGTATATGTTACCTATTCTGATTTACATTGCAAGTAAAGCTGCCTGTAAAGTAAAACAAGCTTTCAGTGCTTTAAAGCTCTCCTCATCACACAAGAGCAAAACGGACTCGTTGTCAATGCACAGCACAGACTATCATGCAGACTGTGAGTGCCGGCCGTGGGCAAGGTTTCGCGGCCGGTGAGTGCTGTACCGAAGTGGTTAAGCCAGTAAGTTATGATGCCATGATAAACCACAGACCTTGATTTCTTGCTCACTTGACATGCCAATGGCTGCAGGTTTGCGGTAGTTCCGCTCAACATGTCTTCATTATTTGGGGGCCCAGGCTGAATTAGCAGCCCCTCTTGGGCCATGTCCTTCCCATGGTGGAGGGAAAATGAAAGATGGCAGAACCATGTGATCGTTCATAAAGACACTACTCAAAAGTGGCATTTGTGACCTTCCCCCACATCCCACTGGCCAAAGCAACCACATACTAAGGCAGATGTCAATAGGGCAAAGAAGTATAATCCTCTTACATAAAGGGCCCCAAATACATAACAATGTAATCTTTCCTACATAATAAAAGCAGGCAAGTGAGAATAGGTGAGGGAATGGAAGTTGGGTTGGAAACCTACAGCGTCTGCCACAGGACATACATACACAAGTGTGTAGATGCACATGCACACCACCTTTTTATTTATTTTCAGAGCATTTCACTGGATAAGTGTTCATATCCTTTGGGGACTGTGGTCTTGAGCCACATCATGTCCCTTTGAGGAAATAACTGCCTGTAGAAAAATCCTGGTATAAAATACCCTTTAACGTATGATCTGTGTAAGACACTTTGATTAGACATGTTATTTCTTGTCATACATTAAAATCCACTGTTATGTTGAAGTGATATAGGTGAGCAAAGCTTACTTTTAAGCCAGGAGAATTTCAGAAAATAGTCGTGTTTAGTTATTAATGTTCTTTTGTTTTCTTCTGAATTAGGTGCTATCATACCATGCGACATGTTCAAAAGCTGAAGTTGACAAGTTTAAGGTAAGGAGAAGGAAATGGTTGCCCTATTAGTGCATAAAGTTAAACTTCACCTGCACTCCTGACCCTTCATCCCTTGCCTCTGTAGATTTAGTCCTGACTACTGGGAGTTGGGGGAGTAGAAGTAGGCAAAGTTGTGTTTGGATCCTTGTGTTTTAGACGGGAAGAGGGGATTACATATGAGTAGCCCCCTCATGATCATTTAAAAGATTCACTATTACCATTTGTTAGGTAAGCAGGATATCAGGAGAAAAATATGTAATATGGTGAGGATCAGGACACCTAATTTTGGCATTGGTTTTATCTCTAACTTGCTGTTCACTTAAAATCTTAAGGTTTATATTTTCATCTGTAAAAATAAGTGAAGAGATTGAAATAATAGCTAGCACTTACTGTTTCCTGTGTGCCAGGCATAATCAAGGCATTTTACTCGTGTTAATTCATTTAATCCTCATAATCATCTGTAGTACATACTATTATACAGATGAATAAACTGAGGCATGGAGATGTTGAGTAACCAGGCCAATTTCAAATGATTGTAGGGGGTATAGCAATCTGGCCCCAGAACTGGAGTTCTTAACTACCATGCTTCACTGCTACATGGGGTGTGACCCAATTGCAGCTTCAACGTCTGAGAAGTCTGTGAATGTATCTTTACCTTAGTCACCAACATTCTCTGAAATGCAGTTCAAAATTCTTGCTTGTCTCTCTACACTCCTACCAGACAGTTTTTAGCAACAGTCAACACATAGGCATGTAGGGAAACTGATTTTCTTCCCTTTTGAAAGATTTGGTGTCTGCCTTTTTAAATTTATATGGAAGTTCAGGGAATTATCAGGAAAAGCTACAACAACAGCAAGAAGGAACATGTTTGTATTACAATATTAGTATGCAGTCTTAATTGGTGATGGCTACTTTCCTAAGAGTTTCATTTGCACAGAGGCCTTTGGGCCTGATAACTGAACCAGATCATTAGAAGAATTGAGTCACGTGAACAATGATAGGGAAAAAAGGAAGAGCCAAACACAGAGAGCAGGGCTGGGAGAATTCCTCTCACGAGGTCAAGGAACAGCACATCTACACTGGCATATGAGCTGCTCGGGCATCATCCAGGGGTGTGGTTTATTATTGGCTTAGAGAAATGCTTAGGGGAAACACCTGCAGTGGTAACCCAGATCCAAGGGCAAGATATGGCACCAGCAAGAGGTGACAGCTGACAACAGAGAAAGGAGACAGCAACCAAAAGCACAGCAGTCAGAGCCTATTTGTTGTAGAGACAAACATCCTGTATACTGACTAGAATGTGAGTTGTATCAGGGCAGTGCTTTTTGTGTCTTTTGTTCACTGCTGTATCTCAGCTGCCTTTTATAGTTCTTGGAACATAGTATCACTAAATGAGTACATGTTGAATGGATGAATGAAGGCATGAATGGCTAAATAATTCCAAGCAGCATCAGTGTTCTAGAACTCAAAATGATTAGTTATTAAGAAGCTGTAATATATAATTATCTTATGTATTTTTATAATTTCATTTAATATATACATTTTATAAACATTTCTCCATCAAAAATATTTAAAGCTTTTTCTGGCCGGGCGCGGTGGCTCACACCTGTAATCCTAGCTCTCTGGGAGGCCGAGGCGGGCGGATTGCTCAAGGTCAGGAGTTCAAAACCAGCCTGAGTAAGAGCGAGACCCCGTCTCTACTATAAATAGAAAGAAATTAATTGGCCAACTGATATATATATAAAAAATTAGCCGGGCATGGTGGCGCATGCCTGTAGTCCCAGCTACTCAGGAGGCTGAGGCAGAAGGATCGCTCGAGCCCAGGAGTTTGAGGTTGCTGTGAGCTAGGCTGACGCCACGGCACTCACTCTAGCCTGGACAACAAAGCGAGACTCTGTCTCAAAAAAAAACAAAAAAAAACAAAAAAAACAATATTTAAAGCTTTTTAACTTTAATAAAGTTCAGTTACCTAGAAAACCTATTCATGGAAATACTTAGTTCCTGACGAAATGCTAATATAATGTCTATATTATTATATTTTTGCTTTTGTTATAACTGTCATCATTGCGAAAAGAGGTAAGGGGTAGGCAAGGAGAAAAACAACAAGGCTCACAATGGACTAAATATGACTGCAAGAGCTACTCCGTGGGACCTGTCCAGAGCCATAGCAGGCCAACCTTTCTAAAAGTTACTGACCTGTGTTCAGGTTTAATTATTTGCTTAGAGTAAGGAAAACCCCATTGTTCTTGAATTTGTCATGTTTTTCTATTGTTAGCTTACAAACATACTAAAATATCGAGTATTTAAATTTGAGAACAAAGGGTTATTTCATCTTAAAATTGTCAAGATTATTAACTTAACTGATTTATTCCAGATTTTATCCTGAAAGATATTAGCTAGTATCCTATTACAATGTAATTGAGATATAGTAGATAATTATAACCAAGTGGCTTTTTGTCTTGCTATATAAAGTAAATAAAACATTATCATAATTGGTAGCTGATGTCTGTTATAACTGCAGCAATAACATTAAAATGTAGTGTGCTTAAAATAATCCTGCACATAGACTGTGAAAAGCATTGATCGAAATTCCAGGCTGAAATATGTGCAATGGCAGTTCCCTAACATTGTAGCTAAATAATAGTAAATAAATGCTTTGTTTTGACCAATATATATGACAAACTATGTTTACATTAAAATATATTGTAACCATTGCTACCTGCAGTGTTTATTTAACAGAGATAGTAAAAAAAATTTTTTTAAATGTGTACAGTGATTTGAAATCTAGAATCAGAGTTATCCATGAGATTTCATGAGTTAAAGGATGGCTGAGTCCCAGTGTATTGGATTATATCCAGCTGGGACCAGGCTAGTAATCTGTGATTCAGAGATTAAGCCAGAGTTTGGGAAAAAACTGATTTCATCATTTAGTGCTAAAAAGATCCAGAGGTCAAATGCTACATAGATGCATACGGCAGACTTTAGTTGAAAGTCACACTGCACCACATCTGAGATGCAGAAATGTCTGGGAGACCAGTGAAATGCGGTTATTTACATGAGAGACTCATTGTGGTTATTTACAAGAGGCCTCCTGAGTCAAGAATTCTTCCTAATGGCAGTTAAGGCCCCAGGCTTCTGTGTCTAGATGATTCCGAGTTCAGCATGGGATTTGTACCTTGGATTTATCCCTTACCTCAGCCTCCCATGGATTCATGTTCTTGGCTGAGAACATGAGTGAACACAAAAAACATGGACTTTAGTATGGTTTCGGTGCATTAAATACCCCCAATAGCACACGGCTCCAGAGTGTCAACAGCACACAACAGGAAGCAGGAGCCCAATGGAAGGAAGCATCACTACAGACCAAAGGCAAGGGACCGTCCTACCAGTGTGCCTGGAAGAGGCTGGAGGAACTAATACAGGCTGAGTGGTCACTTTTTAAGGACAGGTAAGGCATACCCTGAGGACTCCCAGAGATAAGTAGGAGAGATTGAGATCCTATACTATTGTTAGAGTGTGGTATGTACTATTCATTACTCTTAATTTGCTACCATTTGTACTAGTAGGTAGTGGGACCTAAAGGAAGACTAATTTCATACAAGATGAACCTGTAGTGAATCATTAAAAATCAGTAATGTTAGGCTGATGCCACCTTACCCTGTCTCACATCTTGTCCTCCTATCTCACATCCCTTCATGTTTTGGAATGTTTCCTGCTATTCTAGGCTGCTAGGGTGGTAGGGGGAGGTGGTGGTGTTTTGGTTTTGTTTTGTTCTGATAACTGTATTTCCTCTGTTGGGGAAAATCTCCTAGAGGGGTGTGTAGTGGTGGTTGAGTGAAGGAGAATACAGTGTGAAAACCTTTCTAGAAGCGTCCCTGGACTGTCCAGCCAGGATAAGTAGATAAAGCAACATATAATTGTTCATCCAACAATGTCAAAATTTGGGCTTATTTTTCCTGGTTCTGATATAATATTTATACCTTGGGAAACAGTCCATTGTGTACTGTGAAGCATACTGAACTATACAGCATAAGATACATCTCGTTATTTTTTGTACCTACTGCTCAGAATAAAAGCACTTGGAATACAAAAAAAAAAAAATGACAGAACTTCTTGGAACTAATGAATTAATTGTTTTTAAAAGTCTGATTCTGTTTAAAACATTAATAAATTATCCTTTATGGATCAATTGCCCTGTGCATCTAATGAGGAAACCAGGATCTTTAAAAAAATGGTTTTTAATCCTCATTAACATATACTGATCCTCCATGAACTTGAAATAAGAAAGTTATATATAGAAAATTTGTTTAGATTTTAGTGCCTGTTTATATTTCTTCAGCTCTGTGCTAACAGGAATAATGTATAAAGACCATATTGACAATTACATCTCCTTGAAGATGGCTGGTTTAAAGGCTTTTAATAACCTGAAGATGCCAGCTGCGATAACATAAGAAAATGAGTTTAGTACACCAATTATATGCTCTTGTAATTTTATGTACTTTCCTTAGATTCCAATGCGGTGGACAGACCAAACAATTATCACTATATATTGCCAGTTTACCAATTAAAATCAACTCATGGATGTTCTCATGTTATATTGCCACTTTCTATCATCCCTTCTTTCAATTCAGAACTGTATGGGTTAGGGCTGCAATCAGAGAGAACTCATTTACAGCACTATAACTGCCTCAGTAATTAAACACCAATAACTCACATTGCGTATCCAGGTTTGGACTACCTCTTACATATTTCAAGTTTTCAATGTTCATGCCTAGGCCACAAATTAATATCCTGGTAAAGTAAATAAAATAAAGTACCAAGAATAGGCATTCCTTGTAGCATTTACATACCAAAATAAGAATAGCTGCATCAAAAATAGGATCTTATGGCCTGTTCTGCAGACTGATCAATGGAATGTGATTTACTGGGCTTTAAAAATAATAATAGTGATTCAGACTGGAGAAGACACTTGGATCCATGAAATAGTCTAATGTGTATAA